CCCTAAACCCTGAACCCTGAACCCTAAACCCTAAACCCTAAACCCTAAACCCTAAACCCTAAACCCTAAACCCTAAACCCTAAACCCTAAACCCTAACACCTAAACCCTAACCCCTAAACCCTAAACCCTAAACCCTAAACCCTAAACCCTAAACCCTAAACCCTAAACCCTAAACCCTAAACCCTAAACCCTAAACCCTAAACCCTAAACCCTAAACCCTAAACCCTGAACCCTGAACCCTGAACCCGAAACCCTAAACCCTAAACCCTAAACCCTAAACCCTAAACCCTAAACCCTAAACCCTAAACCCTAAACCCTAAACCCTAAACCCTAAACCCTAAAACCCTAAACCCTAAAACCCTAAACCCTAAACCCTAAACCCTAAACCCTAAACCCTAAACCCTAAACCCTAAACCCTGAACCCTAAACCCTGAACCCTAAACCCTAAACCCTAAACCCTAAACCCTAAACCCTAAACCCTAAACCCTAAACCCTAAACCCTAAACCCTAAACCCTGAACCCTGAACCCTAAACCCTAAACCCTAAACCCTAAACCCTAAACCCTAAACCCTAAACCCTAAACCCTAAACCCTAAACCCTAAACCCTAAACCCTAAACCTTTTAGGGTTTAGAGCTGGGGTTTTTTCGGATTTCGAGGGCTTAGGATTTAGGGCACGGGATTTTTAGGGTTTAGAGTTTGGGTTTTTCGGGTTTTTAGGGTTTAGGATTTAGGGCTCGGGATTTTTAGGGTTTAGAGTTTTGGGTTTTTCGGATTTTTAGGGTTTAGGATTTAGGGCTCGGGATTTTTAGGGTTTAGAACTTTGCGCTTTTCGGATTTCGAGAGTTTAGGGTTTAGGGCTCGGGTCTTTCTCGGGTTTAGAGCTTGGGTTTCTCGGATTTTTAGGGCTTAGGATTTAGGGCTCGGGGCGTTGAGGGTTTAGAGTTTAGAGTTTTACGGATTTTTGGGGGTTTAGGGCTTAGGGCTCGGGATTTTTGGGGTTTAGAGTTTAGGGTTTTTCAGATTTTTAGGGTTGAGGATTTAGGGCTCGGGATTTCGAGGGTTGATCGGGGCTTGGAGGTTTTAGGGTTTAGGGCTTGGGGTTTGCGATTTTTCGGGTTCAGGGCTTAGGGTTTGGAATTTTGATGTTTTCGGGTTTCGGGCTTGGGGTTTGGGTTTTTAGCGTTTAGGGCTGAGGGTTGGGAATTTTAGGGCTTAGGGCTCGGGAGTTTCAGGGCCTAGGGCTCAGGGTTTGGAATTTTTGGGTTTAGGGCTTAGGGCTTGGGATTTTCAGGGCTCTGGGCTTAAGGCTTGGGGCTTTTAAGGCGCAGGGTTTGGGACGCTTGGGAGAAGCGAGCCCCAAGGGAAACTGGAAGGAGCGAGCCACTTTGCTTTCGCGGGGGGAGTTCGCCCTGGCCCCTAAGGCTTTAAAAAGGAGCGGGGCGACGCGACTCGAGCGAGAGCTCTGCCCTCGCCCTCGGAGGCGCGCGAATCAAAGCCGAGCTCGTCGCGCGCAGAGATCGCCCGCGGGCGCGCGACCTAAGCAGCGCGACGCGACTCGAGCGAGCCAGCCCCCGAGCTCGAGCTAAGGCGCGGGCCCAAGCCAGGCGTCGCGGCTCGCGCCAGAGCTCCGGGGCACTTCCCCAGCAGCGCAGCTCCTGACGTCGGCCAGCGGGAAAGGCGAGCGCGGGCAAGCTCGCGGCTCCCAAGTCCTGAGCAGCTTGGGCGCGGGAGAGAGCGCCCTTGGAGCCCCCCTTGAGCCCGCGCGCGTCGAGCCAGGACCGCGGCTCGAGGCCCCGCGAAAAATCGCTCAGACCCTCCCTCGTCGCGCTCTCCCTTCTCGGATGTTCGGCTGGGTCGCCAAGCACTTGCGCCGCTTGGCGGACTTAGCTAAGTCCGCCAACCTAGGCTATAACTGGGCTACAACTTCGCTAACCTGAGCTATAACCTCGCCAAGTCCGCCTGGCCATTTGGCAGACTTAGCAAGTGCCCGGCGCAGCGCCAAACACTTAGCTAAGTCTGCCAACTAGCCAGGCGGACTTAGCGAGGCTACAACTCAGGTTAGCGAAGTTATAACCTAGTTATAACCTAGGTCGGCGGACTTAGCCAAGTCTGCCAAGCGGCCCAAGCACGTAGCAACCCAGCCGAACATCCAAGTTCTCCCCGCTCGCCCCCTCCCCGCCACCTCGAGCTAGCTTTTTGCCCCGAGCGGCTGCGATCACTTGGCGCGCTCACTTCGCGCTCCTTGCTTTCGGCCTGCACTTTGGGCAAAGCCTTTGGCGTTTGTCGCCCCCTTGCCCGCGCGGCTCGCTCCACACGCCGCCGCATTTGCGGCACGTGTTCTTGCCCTTCGCCCAAGAGCCGCGCGAGGCGCAGTTCAAGCATCGCTGGTGATGAGCTGACGAGGAGAGGCCGGCGTTCTCCGCGGCGCCGGCTCCCGGAAAGAACAACTCGCAAGTCCGGCAAGCGAACCAGCCGGCGCGGCCCGGCTTGGGCCGCCTCCTCGCGTCGGCCGCGCAATCTGCGCAAACCGCCGCCCACGGCATGGTCGCCGCGGCGCTGTTGAATTCGGAAATCGGCTTTTCAGTCAGGCAAACCGAGCAGCTCAAAGCGCAAACTTTCTTCAAACACTTGAGGCAGCGGCGCTCAGAGTCGCCCCGCCCGAGCTGCGCCCGGGGGAAGGCGTCCTCCAGCTTCCGGAATTTGCAGCCGCGGCAGTCCAAGCGCGCCAGGCCAGACGGCAGCTTCCGCTTCAGCGTCTTCTGGCCGCCCTTGCTCGGGCCGCAGGCAAGGCAAATGGCCGAGCGGTTGGCTCGCACTCGCTCCCACTGGCGGTCGGAGAAGTAGTCCAGCGTCTTCGCGTCTTCGCATTTCTCGCAGGCCGCAGAGGGCGCCTTCGCCTCCCTGAACGCCTCCCAGTCCACTTCTTCCCCCCGCAATTGCTTCAGCAGGGGCGCCGGGCCCTCCGGCGCGCCGCGCGTGTAGAGCCAGCGCTCGAACGGCCTGCGGCGAAACGACTTGCTTTTCTCTCCCTCCCTTCCCCGCCCCGCCCCCCCCCCCTTCTCTCTCTTCCCGCCAGCGCGCCTCAAGATCAAGACGTCCTCCCTGGAGCGGACCCTGCTCGCGGCCACGGTCCCGAAGGTCACGTCGGTCCGCTTGTCGACGTTGAAGTCCACTAGCGCCGCGGGGAGCGTCTTGCCCTGGCTGCCGTGGGCCGTGATCGCGTAGGCCGGGGCCAGCGGCAGCTGCGTCCGCGCGATCTTGAGGACCGGCTTCTTGCGCTTGGCGTCGAACTTCCAGACCTTGCGGACGGGGTAGACCGGGTAGAGGCCAGGCTCCGGCGCGCCGTCCAGCTGCCAAGTCGCGCCGTCGAACTTCACGTAGACGCAGGTCGGCCGCAGGTCGTTCTCCTTCCAGACCCAGGAGCGGACGCGGCCCGAGCTGCCCCGGAGGAGCAGCTTGTCCTCGGAGCGATCGAGGTGGTCAGTCAAGACCACGCGCATCCCGACCGCTAGCGGCAACATGCCGGAGAGGTTCTCGGTGTCCCGGTCGTGATATTGGAGCCACCGGATCCGCGCGGCCTTGTCGCACTCCTGCGCGAACGAGGGCAGCTAAGCCGCCCTTTCGCGCCCCGACTTTTCCCCCGCTTCCCCGCGCCTGCGTCTGCAAGACTTCGGCGGACGGCGCGTCCAGGGCCACGGACCAGCGGAGCGGCGACTCGGCTGCGCGGCTGTAGTCCTCGGCGCGGTCCTTATTGATCTGGTATTTGGCGTCGTTGTTGGCCACGATGACCGCCGCCCACCTGAACTTCTCTTCGAGCTCTCAAGCGCGGGTCCTCCGGCCCCGCGATGACCCGGCGCCGGGACTCGCGCTCTGCCGCGGTCAGCCGACAACCTTCGACGGGCTTGCCGTGGAGGTAGCGCCAGTTCTCCTCCGATAGCTCGCCGCGCCGCAGCTCATCCACGACCTCGTTCCACCAGTCGTCCTTGCAGCGCTCGCGCTCCTCAGCTCCGTCACGCCCTGCAAGGCGCCGCCCCACACCAAGTTTCTGCCGTAGTCCGCCAAGAGGTCCGGCTCGGCGTCAGCGGCCGCACTCAGCCGCAGCGGCCGCCGGCTGCTGGGAACATCCGCGAGGTAGCCGCCGCTCGGCGGCGGCAGCTGGTAGAAATCGCCGAGCAGCAGCACGTTGACGCCCGCGAAGGGCCGCAGCTCCCCGGTCGCGCCGCGCTTCCATTGGCTGGCCGACGGGACCACCGCCCGCAGCCGCTGCTCGACCTGTCGATCGCGCGAAGAGAAAGGCGGGGCGCGAGCGAGACCCTCCCCCCTCTTTCTCCGCGCGCCTGCGCCAGCAGCCGCGCGTTGACCATGCTGACCTCGTCGACGACGAGCCATCTCCAGTAGCTCATTCTCTTTGCCGCCTCCTGGCTCACGGCGCGGTCCAACGCGGCCGCGTCGACGCCAAGGCCGCAGGCGTTGTGGAGGGTCCGCCCGCGAATGTCGGCCGCGTTGACGGCCTGGAACGCCGTCACCTGCGACGCGGCGAGGCGGCGGCGAAGCGGCGAGCCGGAACTCTCGCGCGCGCGCGCCTCGTAGTCGATCCCCTGCGCGTAGCCGAGCTGCTCCTCGAACAACTCCCGCAAGAACTTCAAGGCGTGAGACTTCCCAGTGCCCGGCGGGCCGTGCAGAAGCCAGGCCAAGGGCTCAGCCCGCCGCAGGGCGATCTCGTGGTCCGGCGGCACTAGCTCCATCTCAACCAGAACCCTTTCCACCACCACCCGCAGCAGCTCCAACTGCTTGGCGTTCAGGCCGCTCTGGACGCGCTCGCTGCCAAGCCAGCCGAGCAGCCCGTCCGCGGTCACGCGCGGGCCAAGCGGCTGCGCTTCGGGATCGCGCGGGGCCGGGAGCAACGGCAGCCGGGACTTGCTCCGCGACGCGCGGGCGGCTTGGGCGAGCGCGTCGTGGTCGAGCTCCTCGCCTCCGGGCTGGGCGCGCCCGGCCTGTGCTCTGAGGCCGGGCGAGGCGCTCGCAGTTCCGCTCGCCCCGCTCGTCTTCCAGGCGGCCCGGGACAGGTCGAACATCTGCTTGGTCATGACGCAAAGCCGCGTGGCCGCGGCCTCGTCTTCCACCTCGCTGTCCTCCTCCCCGCTCCCGCCCAAATCGTCCGAGCCCAGCTTGCCCGCGCCGCGGACGTGCGTGGCTCGAGCCGCTTCCAAGTCCGCCTCGTCGAAGAACACGGGCTCGTCCTGGACCTCGTTGTCGCTGTTTTCCTGCAAGTGCTGGTCGGGCCGCAGCTTGCGGGGCAGACAGTAGACGAAGCAGAAGTTGAGGGCGAACAACTTGACCTCCTCGGTCGGGAAGCCACGGAGAATCAGCCTGCGTCGCAAGGCGCGGCGCCAATCCGTCTTGCCAAACTTGCAGAGGTCGCCCAGGTAGGGAACGGCGGCGGAGGCGTCGTCGGGGTGGGTCGTCCACGGGCAGAAGAGCAGCAAGACGCTCCTCGCGTAGTCCACCTCCGAGCGGCCGCCGAGCGCGCCCTGGACCACCGGGACGTGGGGCCTGGCGAGCGAACCGGCCCCTAAGCAGCCCTCTCTTTGAACATCTCGCGCCCTGTTCCCCCGCCCGCGCCTGTTCCGGGGCGCGAGGACCCAGTCGTGTCTGAACTTCTGGGCGAGCGCCCCGTGCCCCAGCGGAAGCCAGTCTTCCCCGCCCTCCTCGAGGATCTCGTAGTCCACCCCGGGCTGCAAGTTGGCTCGCGCGCTTCTGCCGAGCTTCGCCGCCCCGGCGTCGGTCAGCGCGGCGTGATAGACGCCGCCGTCGAGCTCGTCCATCGGCGCCAAAGTGAAGGGTCGCTTGGCAGGCTGGAAGCGGAAGTGGCGCGCGAATTCGAAGGCGCAGAGCTCATAGACTCGCGCGTCTCGGCCTCGCGCGCCGTAGAACGTCCAGAAGGGGCAGGAGACCACGCGCCCTTGCCAAGCGCGCGGCCGCGATTCCGTCCGCAGATGCTGGGGCTCAGTCGGCCAAGCTTCGCCGGCGGCGGCCGCGTCCAGGAGCTGGAAGCCAAAGCGCAAGGAGATCGAGCAGACGGCCGCCGTCTTGATGGACTCGGCCGCGGTGGGGTCGTTGGCCGCCACGCGCGTGGTCAGGTTGGCGCACTCCACCGCGCCGCGGCAGACGCCGCGCGCGTAGCAGTCGGTGGTCAGCCGCTTGGCCACTCTTGCCCCCACGTAGCCGGCGGGCTTGTCCTTCAAGTCCTCGCCCAGCTCCCGCTGGCCCTTCTGTCACTCCTTGAGCTCGCTTGTTCATGTAGTCGCAGCCGTAGCCGGCTTGGGCGGCCTGCGCGACGCGACAGCAAACAGAGCCGAGCAAGCCGCGGCCGCCCCTTGCCCGGCCTGATTCCTTTGGGCCTCCCGAACGAGCAGCTTGACGTCGCCGTCGCCGACGCAGGCCTCTTCCTGACAGAGCTCGCCGTCGTGGGTCTCCTTAGTCACGGGGAACCGGTAAGGCAGCTGGAGGTCGCCGTTGCATCGCAGCGCCGCCAGCAGCGCCGGGTGGTTGCCGTTGAGGTTGGCGTCATTGACTGGGCCCCACTGCAAGCCCAAGGCGCTCCGCTTGCCCTTGACGGGCAGGTCCAGCTGCTCGGCCAAGCCGGGACAGACCAGAGCCGCTCGGCCCAGAATCAGTTGGCTGTCGCGGGGGAACCCACTCTTGCACCTCGTCGGGTCCTTGGGGTCGCGGCAGTGGGCCAGGGGCCGCCGCTCGCCGCCTGGGCTGGCAGGGAGATGCACGTGATGTTGCTTGCGCCGCTGCAGCTGCTCCACGTCCTCCGCCAAGTATTGCCGCGTCCACTCCTCGGGCTGTAGCCGGCGGCTCGCCTGGTAGGCCGGGCGGCTCAACATCAAGGCGCAGTCCTTGTATTCCGGCCACTCCTCCTCCACGGCGGCCCGGTCGCGCTCCCAGCCGTCTGGGTCGCAGTAGACGGAGCGCCGGACGTGGGCAGTGTAGGAGGCATACCTTTGCAGCAAGGTTTGGAGCTGAGGCTTGCCCAAGTCCAGGAGGCCGGCCAGCGACCCGCGCTGATGGCGGCACTGGACGAACACTTGCAAATGGGCGTGGAGAGTTCCGCTCTTTTGGCACTCGATGGAGCCAAACACGGCGTCGACCCGACCCAACACCCCGCCCGCAGCCAAGGCGTTGCTCCCGAAGGCGTCGCTGCAAGGCCGCTCCGAAGCGGCGCAGTTGGGGCAGCGCGGGCAGAACCTGACTCCCAAGAGGTGGCGCAGCGTCAGCAGCACGAGCGTCCTGCGCGAGCGGGCAACCGCGAGCCGCGGAGGCGAAGGACGCGCGCCCGGCCCCGCCCGTCCTGAAGCCCTCCGCGCAAGCCAGCGGGTCCCTGGCCAGCAGCGCGCGCCTGTCCTCGTAGTTCGGCAGGTTCTCCGCCAAGGCCTCGGGGCTCAGTCGGCAGAACTCTTCGTCCAGCGCCGGCGCGCCGCGGGCCTGGAACTTCCTCGCGCCGTCCCGCAGCAGCGCCGGGTCCTCTTCTCGCACGCGCGCCAGGCGCAGCATCAGGGCAGTGTCTCGCTCCGGTAGGCGTGGGTCTGTAGGCGCATGGTCTTGCGCACCTCGTGGGTCCCGGGAATGTTCGCGGCCCGGGCCTCGACGTTGGCCAAGATCTTGCGGGCGGCGGGCTGCAAGTTCGCGAAGCGCAGCTTGGTCAAATCCCCGCGGACCGGCTTCTCCCCGCCGTTGACGTCCGTGTAAGTGCCGTTCAAGCGGCGGGCGAGCTCCTGGGCGCCCGCGACGATCTCCTCCGGCTTTAGAGAGTGATAGCCGCCGCCGTCGGCGTTGGGCGCCGAGAACATGTAGGCGTTCTTCTGCAGGTTGACCGCCGTCCGGAAGAGGTAGTTCCAGACTGCAAAGCCGAAGGTCCAGTCGCGTCGGAACTGCGCCTCGACTCGGCGCTGCATGGCGGCGGCCCAGGCGCGGATATCGACTCTGGGCGCGCCGGTCTCGCTCCTGGCAGTCGACCCGACGTCGCCCCTTCGACTTTTTCTCGCTTCCGCCCTGTCCCGTCCCCGCCGCCGCGCCTCTCGACGCCCTGATTCTTCTTCTTCCACGCGGGCCACAGAGTTCCGGACGTCTGGGCACGCAGTCCCGCGGGGGAAGCAGAAGCAGAAGGCGACGGCGAAGTAGAGGGGCTGGAACTGGTCCACGAGCTGATTGCCGGCCCTGATTTCCAGCTTCTCCATGCCCCGCAGCTCCGCCTCCGTCGCGAGCTCCTCCCGCAGCTTCTTCAGCGCGGCCACCGCGGCTTGATTGGCGTCTTCCTCCGCGCAGCCTTCCGCGACCACCGCCCGCGCGCGCTGGGCGGCAAAGGTCGCGCCGGCGGCGGCCACGTCCTCTTGCCGCCCGTCGCACGGCGTCGCCGCCTTCTGCGGCTGCAACTTGTCCTCGGCGTCGTCGAAGTCGGCGTCCGCCTACACGGCGAGAGCGAGGCCGATCTCGCGACGGGCCGCGCGCCCACCTCGCCCCCGCGCCTGGGCCACGACCTTCAACACCTCGGGCGGAACCCCGTCAGTCGGAAGCGCGGCGGCTCGAAGACGCACGCCTTCCTCGTCCGCGCCCGCGAAGGACGGATGGCCCAGGCGCTGCATGTCCAAGACGAGGTTGATCACCACCTCCCGCCGCACGTTCGCCTGGTGGATGAGGCCCTTGATCTCCGCGCCGGTCGTCTTGCCCTTCTTGTTGGTCTTGAGCAGAACGCGGACCAGCTGGCCGAGCTCCGCCCCGCTGCGCGGCAGCGCCGCCGCCCGGTCGCCTCCCGCCTGCAAGGCTTGCAAGACGTCTTCCCAAGGCAGCGGGAAGGACAGCGCGTTGCCTCGAGCCCCGAAGCGATGCCTGGCCATGTGAGCCGCTTCGTCTAGGGCGCCGGCCTCGCTGCGGAACCGCGCCTCCATAGACATGCAAATCAAGGTGGTCACGCAGGGCGAGGCGCAGATCAGCTCCATCACGGTCGCCTCCTCCGCGTAGATCCGCTCCGGGGCGTAGCCCGTCCACATGTCGTTCGCCAAGCTGAGCGGGGGCAACTCCGCTTGGGCGAGATGTTCGAGGCACTCGCCGCAGTCCGGCAGCTCGCAGTGCTCGCAGAGGACGCCCTCCGCGACGTGTGCAGGGGCCGCGCCGCAGCGGTGGTCTTCCGGGCAGCACAAGAGTTCGACGTCGTCGGGCCCAGGCAGCCGCAACTTCCAGGAGGCGAAGGTCTCGTGGTCGGACAGCTTCTTGCCGGGGGCGTCGAGCTGGTCGTACTTCTCCAGGAAGCGCTCCAAGCCAAGGACCTCCGCCGCGGCAGCCGCCGGCCGCCCGAAGAAGAGAACTTCCCCCGACGGCGCGCGGCGCAGCGGCCGCCGTCATTGGATCTCGCTCCGCTCCCCGATCTCCGCCACGCGGGTGTAGACGCAGGCGCAGCAGAAACAAATCAGCGCCTCCACGCTGTCCTTCGCGGTCGCCTTGGCAAAGGAGCGCAGCGCGGTGCGATCCAAAGAGCACCCCGCCAGCGGCGCGTCGGCGCGGCAGCGCTGAGCGACGGCCTCGCTGTAAACGCTCGACAGCGCGTCTGGGCAGTGGGGCCTGGGAAGGCAAGCGGCGGCGGGCTCCAAGTCCTCGGCGTGCTCCGTCTCGAGGTGCCGGGCAAGATCCGCCTCCAGGCCGTCCGCCGCCTCCCACCCGCAGCCGTCAAAGGCGCAGAAGGCGCGGGGCCAGACCGCTCCGTCCTTCAGCTCACTCTCGTCGGCGCCCGGCGGGAGCGTCGGCTGGAGGCGGAACTTCAGCGCCAACTCCGTCACCGCGTCCTCGAGGGGGCGGAAGGGGTGGGAGGTCTGGGGCGCGGGGAGCACGAAGGCTTTGCCGACCTCTTCCATCACGTCGTCCTGCAGCTCCGGCGCCGGCGTGGTCTTTTCCCGGAGGCGGCGCCGGGACATCGCCGGAGCGGGCTGGGCGGGCCGCCGCGGCGCGCGGCCAAGTCCGCGGCCTGAGCGGGCCGGCTTGCGGGCGGCCGCGGCGGCGGCCAGACTTGGAAACTCCTGGCCGCGAAGTCGACCCCCTGCCCTCGGCGCAAGCGAACGCGGTCCTCCGCGTAGACAGCGGCCGCCGCGGCGCCGGGAGCTTCCGCGAGCGCCGGGGCAAAGTAGCGCGGCGGCGGCGGCTGCGGCCAGGCCGGTCGGAGAGCTCCGCCTCGATCAAGGCGCTATAGTGGTCTACCCCGTTGTAGAGGAGGTGGGCGACCGGCGCGTCGGCGTCGACGAGCGCGTGGGAGCTGTCCTGGACCTCCACGGCGTCGGAGCCCGCGACCTTGACGTGGACGAAGACCAGCCGTTGTCGAAGCAAGGAATAGGCCGAGATGGCCACGGCTCCGCCCCAGCACTCTGCCGCAGGCCCCCGCAAATGTTCGGCCTCCTCCAGCCACACCTCCTCGAAGCCATCCTGGTGGAAGGCCTCGCTCTCCAGGAAGTTCGCCAGCTCCGCCCGCAACTCCTCGCCACAGCGGCCCGCCTCGTCCTGCGTCGCGAGGGCGTGGAAGAGGCAGTTGGGCACGTCGACGACCGCCAGGGCGCACATCGCTGCCGCCTGCCGCGCGCTATCGACCCAGAAAGCCGCGCGAAACCCTCTTGTGTGCCCAAGGCCTCGCCCGCCGCGGCGTTTGAAGAGGCCGCGGAAGCGGAAGCCATGCCGAAGTCCTGCGGGCGCGGCCAGTCGAACGCGCGTCGAAGCGAGACGACGACCCGTCCTGCGCGCGAACAGCCGGAAGGCGGGGCAAAGGCGAAAGCTCGAGAGTCTTGCAAACGGCTGCCGGTCGCCAGCCTCAACTTCTTTCGCAAGGCCGAGCAAACGACGAAGCGACAGTCTGTCTGGGCCGCGCGCTTTTCTCGCGGCTCGCGAAATCGAACCTTTCAGCCCCGAGGGGGTTCAAAAGGAGCCCAGCTCAAACACGCGGTCTTCGTCGAAGAGGGCAAGAATAGCCAGCAAGCGGCTCCGGCCGCAAGCTCGGCTTCGCCGGCGCGCGGCGAGGGCGTCGGCCGGGCGCCGAGCTGCTGTGCCGACTCCTTGGCCGCGCGCGTCGCAGGGGCTTTGCTGGCCGCCTTCTCCCGGCGCCGGCGCCTCGACTTCGCTTGAGCAATTCTGGCGGGCCGCGGAAAGCGGCCGCGCGCGCAAGCGGGACGGACCGGCGGCTCAATCGCCGCCGCCGCGGCCAAGCTTGGGAACTCCTGGCCGCGCGCGCCGAGCGCCGTCTCTTAGCAACCGCGGCGCGAGCGCCTTCCCAAGCCCCGTCCTTCGCGTAGACTCTGCCCGCCTCGGCGTCCGCGGCTTCCGCGAGCGCCGGGGCAAAGCAGAGCGGCGGCGGCGGCTGCGGCCACGCCGGGGCCATCGCGTCAGAGAGCTCGACTTCGACCAAGGCGTTGTAGTGGCCCACGCCGTCGTAGAGGAGGTGAACAACCGGCGCGCCGGCGTCGACGAGCGGGTGGGAGTTGCTCCAGACCTCTGCGGCGTCGGCGCCCGCGACTTTGACGTGCACGAAGACTCGCCGCCGCCGAAGCAAGGAGTAGGCCGAGATGGCCACGGCTCGCCCCAGCGCTCGGCCGGGGGCCCCCGCAAGTGCTCGGCCTCTTCCCGCCAAACCTCTTCGATGCCGTCCTGGTCGTCGGCCTTGCGCTCCAGGTCTCGGACCTCAACACGCGCAACTTCCCTTGCAAACCTTCAGCCACGCGTGCGGCGCGCCTGTCCGGCGAACGCCGCCCCCCCAACGACGACGATGACTGGTAGAGCCAACGGCGGGCCGTAACTCGGCGCGGCTTGTTTGCCTTGCAGCCGCCGCTTCTTCGGCGCCGCCTCTGCGCACGACTCGCCCTCTTCCTCAACCATGTTGACGTCCTTGGGCTCGTCAACCTCCTCCGCCTCCTCGCCCTCGGAAGCTGTCTCAAAGACGCCCAAGTCAACCTCTTCAGCGGCTGCGGCTGCGGCCTTGTCCTCGTCGACCCTTGCAAACTTGACCTTCCCGAAAAACGTACCTGTCACAGCTGTTTGCCTCTTCATCACTGGTTGCACAGGACACTTGACAGACATTCCCCTGCCCCAACCTCGCCCTGCAAAACTCGCAAAGCCCTCTGCCCTGTTGCTCTCTCTTCCCCCCCTGCCCAAGCCCCCAAGCGCTCAAAGCAGACAACGTCTCCCCTGCAAACAGTTGGCTCTTTCACCTCTACTTAGGCCGCAACAAGTCACAGCAACACCGCAAGCCAAGCCCCTGCCCCCAAAAACAAAATGCTCGACGGGCCCTGAAACGCTTTTTTTGTTGACTCTCAGGACTCTTTGAACTAACAGGCCCGGTCGCCCTAACCACTTATTCATTATGTCGTCCAGCCCTCCGCTGCCACCCTTTGCAACTCGACTGTCATGCCCCCTGTCTGTAAAACATTTGGGTTTCAGCTCCTGGCCCTGCAGCAACGGAAACACGCTACAATACGTCGGCGCCCGCCTAACTTTTGCAAAATGGACATAGTTTAAAGCAATTAAAAACCGTAAGGGGCCCCGCGTTCGTTCTTGGCCGAGGGCTTCCGGTTTAACGTCCCGTCGGCCACCCGGACGGCCAAAACTACACACACACACACACTCACGAGCACGTCACATTCTCGCCTTTCCTCCTCCGCCGGTTCTTGGGACGGTCGCCCGCTGCAGCCTCCTTTTTCTTTGCTTCCCTCCTCCGCCGGTTCTTGGGACGGTCGCCCGCCGCAGCTTCTTTTTCTTTCCTTTCCTCCTCCGCCGGTTCTCGGGTCGGTCGCCCGCCGCAGCCTCTTTTTCTTTGCTTCCCTCCTCCGCCGGTTCTTGGGTCGGTCGCCCGCCGCAGCCTGTTTTTCTTTCCTCCTCCTCCGCCGGCTCTTGGGTCGGTCGCCCGCTGCAGCCTCTTTTTCTTTCCTCCTCCTCCGCCGGCTCTTAGGTCGGTCGCCCGCTGCAGCCTCTTCTTTTTTCCCTTTCTGCCTCCGCCGGTTCTCGGGTCGGTCGCCCGCCGCAGCCTTTTCTTCTTTCCTCCTCCTCCGCCGGTTCTTGGGACGGTCGCCCGCTACAGCCCCTTTAGGTTTTAGGGCTAAGGGCTCCAGGGTTCGCCAACACAGCTTGGCGCCCAAGTGAAAATACTGGGATCACAAAAGTGGTAAGCTAACCGCTAAGCTTTTGGTTGGTAGGGGGTCAGCCCTGGCGCCTTTTAGACAAAGTGGTCTGTCGGTGCTCTGTATAGACGTTTTCGTTTTTCTTGGTAGGGGGCGCGCCCTGGCGCCTTTTAGCTAAAAAAAAAAAAGGCGACTCCGCCCCGGGCCCAGCACGGAGGGGGGAGGCGCCGCCCTGGCCCGCGAAAGGGGGGCCCCGTGGAACGCGGGACCGAAACCTGCGGAAGCGAGCGCCCCGCCCAGCGCCCTGCGCCCCGACTCGCGCCCCGAGACACCAATCCCCGAAGCCCAAAAACCTCGGAGCCCAGAGCCCCAAAACCTAACCCCGACCCTCGAAACCGGAAGCCCCGAAACCCGAGCCCTAAAGCACGAAACGCCGACCCCCGCCGCCCGAAACTCCAAGCCAAAGCCGCGACCTGGAGAGCGCGAAGCCCCGAGCCCTGAGCCCCGAAACCCCAAACGCCAACTCCAAGCCGCGAGCCTCGAGCGCGGACCTGAACTTCGAAGCCCGCCCGAGCCCCCCCGCCTAACCTCGAAAACCGCGAGCCCGAAAGCCCGAGCCTTGGAGCCCGCGACCCTACGCCGCGGCGCCCCTCGAGCCGCGACCGCGAACCCCGACTCGAAGCTTAGAGCCCCGAGCCTTAAAATCCAAAACCCCGAAGCGCCAAACCCAAGCCGCGACCCGCAGACGCATCGCCCGCAGGCGCCGCTGCCACTGCGCCACGGCCCCTTGCTTCGCAGAGCCCGGCCAAAAAAGGCGGGAAAGCCCGAAGACGTCGCCTTTTAAATCGGGCTTTTCCCCCCCAAGCAATTCAACTAAAAAAATGCTGTGTTGGCGCACACTGGCGCAAGGCACTAAAAGTTTAGGGTTTAGGGTTTAGGGTTTAGGGTTTAGGGTTTAGGGTTTAGGGTTCACAGGATTTGAGACATGGAAATCTATATAGCGACGTCAATCAAAAGTTTCGATCTCAATCCCACCCACCCAGGCCCGCTACCAAGGGCCAGCTTCTACACCAGCGCAACTCAACAAATCGAACGCAGCGAAAGCAAAGCGGCGCGAGGCGCGCGCGCAGCGCGACCGACAAAGTAGGTGACGAATTGCGAAAAATCGGCGAGCGGCAATTAAGACGAATTTGCAGGCGGCAAGCAATATGTTGCAAGGGCAGAGAGTAGCTGCGAGATTCTGCGCGCAAGGGGCTAGGAAACTACGTCCGCTGAGAAGCGCTTCATGAAGCAGCCCCAACGGCTCGGCGATGATTTCGAGTTCGCATTTAGCTGAGTTGCAGCACGCCCCACCAGCTTGGAAGGTCTGCGCCGTGCAAAGCCAAGAGCGTTTCGACCGCGAAAGTGCTCAGAGAGCCGATCAAGCGGAATGGTAATCAACGGGCGCCGCGCTTTTTTGATTGCCGGAAGTGGAAAACCACGGCGCGGCCACGACAAACATTGCCCGGAAGCCCGAAGCTACGACGGGGCCACGAAAAACAAGCGCGCGCGGGAGGGACCGAGCCGGACGCGTGAGGGCCACAGAAGCTGCGGCGGGCGCCGGCTCACCGCAAAGCGCGCGCCAGGGAGGAACCGAGCCCGGGACCACCTGCTTCAGAGACGGACACTAGGCCACCGAAGCTGCGGCGGGGCCGCGGCCAGGAGGCCCTGACCAGAAAGCGCGCGTGTTTAGCGCGCGCAAAAGCCTGCCCGAACTTGGGCTCGAGCAGCAAAACAGATGTAGAAACACGCGAAGCGCAAAGCGCGCCAGGGAGGAACCGAGCCCGGGACCACCCCGCTTCAAAGACGGACGCGCGACCACCGGGCCACCAGCCCCGCGGCGGGGCCCCGGCGCGCCCACGGTTCAGCCGCGGCCAAGGGGGCCCGACCTAGAAAGCGCGCGTGGCAAAATTTCCGATTTTGGCCCCGAACTTGGATTTGAACAACGAAACCGATTTAGAAGCTTGCGGGACACGTGCAGAACTGAAAAGAAAGTCTTAAGAAAGCCCCCTGCGGGCGGACCCGTTGTAGGGCAAACATTTAAATATATATACTAGAGTAGAGAATAGAGGTTTAGGGTTTAGGGTTTAGGGTCAATCCGATTTCAGGAAACGAGCAACACTTGGAACGTTGGACCCGCAGCTGTTGGCTGGAAAGCACCACCCGCCCAAGCTCCCAAAGTATTCGGGGCCCAAAAACACACTTGGTTAAAAAGACTCCGGGCGCCCGCGCGTCGAAAGCGCCGCAGGCCTGCCATCAACATGTGATTACAAAAGCTTGGGTGGCCGCGAGCGGCCAAAAAATAAGACTCTTGATCGCAATTTAATAGGAAATCGACAAGCTCGAATGGGCTGCACAGGTTATTAGGAAATCAACGAGCTCGACTTGGCGGCATAAAATCCGCATGACCACAGATCGAGCAAACAAATGCGTTTCTCAATAAACAGTGTAATAGGAAACCGACGAGTTCGAGTCGGTTGCCCAAACTTGTAAAAATGCGATTGCAAAAGTCCGGATGACCGCAGATCGACCAAAAAATGCGTTTCTTAATAGACAGTTTAATAGGAAATCAACGAGTTCAGGTCGGCTGCCCAATTTTGCAAAAATGTGACTACAAAAAACCCGGGGAGGGCCGAGTTTGGCCGGCTGCATAAAATTGGAAAATGCGAGCGCAAAAGTCCGGATGATCGCAGATCGACTGAAAAATGCGTTTCTTAATAGACAGGTTAATGGGAAATCGACGATTTCGATCGGCCGACGATTTTGAATCAGCTGGCCGTTCTTTATTAAATTTTACGTAAAAATGAAACATTTTAGCTCAAGCGCAAGAAGTTTGCCACTTGCAGCTTGAAAAAAAACCGATTTATCGCAGCGAGCGCTAAACAACCAAAAAAAACCTCGAATTTTTTAGAATTGGCAGCCGGAAACCATGAAAAAACCTGCTAAAACCTCAGAAGAGAAGCAAAAAACCTTGAGTTTTTTAAATTTTCCAATTATGCAAAAATGTGACTACAAAAGCCCGGATGACCGCAGATCGACCAAAAAATGCGTTTCTTAATAGACAGTTTAATAGGAAATCGACGAGTTCGGGTCGGCTGCATAAAATTGGAAAATGCGAGCGCAAAAGTCCGGATGACCGCAGATCGACTAAAAAGTGCGTTTCTTAAAAGACAGGTTAATAGGAAATCGACGATTTCGATCGGCCGACGATTTTGAATCAGCTGGCCGTTCTTTATTAAATCTTACGAAAAAATGAAACATTTTAGCTCAAATGCAAGAAGTTTGCCACTTGCAGCTTGAAAGAAAGACCCATTTATCGCAGCGAGCGCTAAAAAACCAAAAAAACCTTGAGTTTTTTAGAGTTGGCGGCCGGAAACCATGAAAAAACCTGCTAAAGCCTCAGAAGCGAAGCAAAAAACCTCGAGTTTTTTTGGTTTTCCAGAAGAAAATTGCAACGCTCCCCACAAACGAGGATCGAGGGCCGAAAAAAAACGTAAAAAAACCACGAGTTTTTGAAGGTCAGCGCAGCCAAAGTGCCGAGAGGGTTCACTTTGCAAATTGAAAAAGCAAAAAAACCTTGAGTTTTCCACGGTTCGAACCCGCAAATGACGACAGGGCCAGCAAATTTTGAACAGCAAAAAAACAGCAAAAAACCTCGAGTTTTTGAGCCTTGGAGCTCCGAAATGACGGCAGGGCCAGCAAAAACCAGACAGAACACAAATCGGGTAAAATTGTATAGGGTTTAAATTAATATAGAAACTAATTGTTTAGGGTTTAGGGTTTAGGGTTTAGGGTTTAGGGTCTAAAGGGTATATCAAATGGATTGAGGAAGTTTTGT